TAATAAACAAAATTTCCTTTTATTTTTATTAAGTAAAAGCGGTTAATTCTACGTCAGTGTGAAGTTTAAGTAATGCTACACAATCAGCAAATTAAGTCAATTTACCGTATTTGTCAAACCCAACCTGTGAATATTTACGATGTGAAAAGTGAAAACTGGTAGGGTAACTCCGCAATGGACACATCAATTCATCACTTTGCAATAATCATTTAACGACTTGCAGTATAAAATTTAATCACCAATTAGTCTGGAATGCCTGCTAAATTTGTTAATTTTTTGTTACGAGTTAGATTTGACAATGACAAATGTGCAACGCGTAGAATTTTCGCATCATTTACGATTGTCATCTCGGAGGGTGCGGATAACTGTTCATAACCGCTAATTAAGCGCTTCACCCATCGCTTACGGTCGTAATACCTACGCATACCAGGACTTTGTTTGACAAGAATTGATTTGGCACATATTTCCTGCAAATAAACTGTGTTAATTTAGATACCTAAGTTACAAGTTGTCCCACTTCCGTGTCGATATTCTTAAATATGTCTCTACCTTCGAGCTGTATATAAAATCTTTATATTCACGTCTTTCCGCTATTCCCTACTTCACGAATATTCGAATTTAATTCCTTTAATACAACCATAACGCTTCCCAAAAGACGTCTTAAAAATTATTTTCTTATATCTGATTTAGTGGACTGCTTATACGAATTTCCATGCTGCCATGGAAATGTCTTCTGATTTTTGTTCATAAAATCACAGCGACTTCAGAAATAAAATGAATTTGGTTGAAAAAGAATGTTGTTGCCAATTCAGTAGTTTGTGACAGAAACAGACGAAAAGTCGCTACTTACAAGGGCTATTGCAAAGAATATGAAAAGTTATTGACCATAGATGAATAAGAAGAATACAAAATCTTAAATGTATCGATAATGCTAGCATGTATATGAAGGAAATGTCAAACTTAAATCTTCTACCATTGCTGCGATTAAAAATTGATTTGGCAGCATACCTTAAATTACGTGCGTTTGTGGAGCTTTCAAACAAAGGACAGGTTGTAACAGATGCAGCTTAGCCGTTTTTAAAAATAAATTTGGCTTAGAATTTGTGTTTTGGTCGAAATAGAGCAATTGCCACGTGTACCGATTTACAGCTAACGTGAACGAAAATATATTTCGCGATAACGAGCCATAACGCGGTTCAAGGTCATTTGTGTTCAGAAATTAGTTCACTTTCGCTTTTTCTCGTGGGTGAGATTAAAATAGTGAAAGAAGTGGGAAAGCTAGAGATTCTTGTTTGATTTCGAGAATCGAAACGTGCCATTTAGGTTCGAAAGTTGATTTTTGAGAACCATCCTGACCCATTTTAAGTGCCTTGAAACTGAAGTAAAGAATTAGTAGTTTAACTGCGGGTAAAAATAAAAGTAGCGCGAACTCCGAAAGGTCAAATAAGTCGTAGAGAAAAGTTTAAGTAAATTCAGGCTTGTGACGAATTATGAGTCATATGCAAATTTATACGTGTGTGAAGAAACATGTTACACTAAATTCCGGGCCGAAGAAAAACTGTTTAGCAGCCCTACTCCTAGCAAGGTCGTTCATTTACGAGTGGCAAAATTTACGCGAAGGAACATTTTCGAGTCTGGGAAGCGCTTATCAATGAAATGCGGTATTAAATAAACTGACATTAAAACTCAATGTGATAAACAGCGAAGTTTTTTCGGATCACTAACAACAACAGCCGGTAGCAGGCAAGTTTCCCTAAGGCATTGTGCGATCAATCAAATTTGTGTACAGGGTGAGTCAACGATTGCGCGGAGTAACTTTTTCGATAGAGTGCTTTTGTATTATGATATAGTTGAATATTCTCCACATTTTAAAAATATTTGGAATTATACATGGTGCGCCCACAAAGTAGGGCGCCTAGATGGTAATTTTTTTTAAATAGAACATCCTGTATTTGAATGCATTTTTGAATTCTACGTGTAATTGTACGTCATTTTTATTATATGGTTAATATCCGAAAAACTAGTAGTTTTAAAGATAATTCCATTTGTAAGAAAAATTGGGCATTTGCAAGCGTCAGTATATTGTCAAAATTATTACTTAAATTTTGATTACAGGTTTTATATCTTTATCCTGGGTTAAGTAAAAGTCAAATAAATACATCTACTATAACACATTAAAAAAATAGCTTACAGGGTGTTTTTTTTGTAGATCCAAAGTTACAAAACTTCATATTAAAAAATCTCACTTTTTTTAAATGGAACACCCTGTATATTTTTTTGTCAACTTTTAGCGCTTCCAAAAACCATCAACTTTTGATAATAATGTCCTACACCTATCTCTGATATGTTTCAAAATATCTTGGTATTCCTGGTGTTTATATTCTAATCTTAAATAAGTTATATGTAATTTACATAATAACGAGGTGGCCATGCAAAAAAAATGCAATTTTTATCTTCCTCGTCCAAAGCTAAAGCTGTTTGTAGCCATTTCTAGTGCAACGATTCACTTTTTCCTAATGCCAAATCGGTAGTTAAAATGATTCAATCTGCTTAAGTAACAATTACTACTATCTACCACTACAATTTCATAAATCCCATTACCTGCAGTCACGTCCAATCTGTATCTTCTTCGAATCGAATTTGTAGATTGTGATACCATGACGCGATTAGTTTTAATTCCTTCTGAAGCTATTGTTTCGTTGAATGTACTCTTGGTTTGGGTGACTGAGTGAATGTACTCTTAGCGTGTTAAGAATAGTTGGTGCCATTGGGATTGAGAAAATGTCACTTTTGCTTTTGTCGTTGAAATGACATGTTCCAATTTTTGCGAAAGTTGTTATTTGAATTGGAATATTCTAGAGTCGTCACGCTGAAATTGTTTAAAATAATTATCTCAGCGTCTTTACGTGAATGAGGATTGGCGGTCTCCTCTTGAGGTAAATTTATTTTTATAGCATTCCTTCTTTGTTAAAACGTTACTTTTTAGGTTATGCCATATGTTTTAATTTAATTACCTACCTATTTTTGTTTTACCTGTATCGCAATTCAAAACCCATTTATTAATGGGGTACGTAAGTTGAATCAATTGGATTTGGGTTTGATTTTGTGATTGTGGTTTTTAGATGTATCTTTTGTGTAGCGAGCATCAACCACTTCTTTCGATACCGTTCTATTAGGGAATGCTAAAACGAGTTCACCAATCTATGATTAACATGTCTGCTTAGTAGGATCTCATCTAACACTTAGTATTGGCGATCAGACGTTCTGCAATGCAATGTATCTTTTGTCGTGTCTTTTTCGCTGCTGTACATTTTTGCTACCGTCATTACGAATTGCTCTGCCATATTACATGAAATATAGGAGTTGATAATCGACTACAAATTGTCTGTTATTTTATCTTTTGCCTTTGTCGTCAGTGTAATTACGAAGTAATTCAGTTAGTTAATTTATTTATCTTCCTATCTGTAGATGAGATTAATTAGGTTACCTATAGCTTGTAAGTAAACATCTTTGCTGAAAATTTGCATTTAGTTAAGTGCAACCTTGCCCATAACTGGTAATTTATTTACTATTGTATGCAATTAAATATCTTTTGTGTAGATTCTTTGCCAATACAAACTACCCAGTAGTTCCCGAGGATTCTCAAAGCTTGCGTCGCCACGCTACGGGACCACCTCTTCCGATCCATCGGTTGGGGTAGTAACGTTTAGGGAATCTATGATGCCATGGTTGCAGTGGGCAGGTGCGCCATCATGTTGAAACCAGCGGCGTTCACGGAATACCTGCAAGAACGTTATTAAATTTTGATCCCCCCTTATTGGTGTAACATCATAAAAGATGATGTCCTACAATTCCTATATCTACAAATTGATTGACATTCTGTGTTGGCTTCTTATGAGAAGAACTGCTTGGGGGTTTTCGTCTCCCCACTCGCGAATGTGCTTAACATTAACGTAACAAAATTTGTGCGAGATTAAAATTTACTTTTGCATGCCCGTTTAGGTGTGCGTAATCTTGGAGTAAGAATTTTAGAAAAATGTTGATCAAATCGGAAAGGGAATACCTAGAAAGCTATTTGAAAACGTGCCATCCGTCTTTTTTCTTGGGGTAGCTCCTAAACTCAACATGTTGATTTGTTTGCCAAAATATTTGTTTTCTCTATCAGTCAATATTTTTCTCCATACTACACTTTGTGTAGTCAACTTCATCCATTTGCAAATTATAGAAATAGCAAATCTGAGTACCTAAAACAGTATGTTGATCCAAACAGTTAGATAGACTAGATTAGATGCTGGTTCCGATTTCTTGACCACTTATTTAATTAAATCCCTACTACGCATATGCTACACTAAATGCATTCGATTCGTACCACTATTCCAACCCCGACGGATCGACGCGCCACAACTTTGGCCGACTTTTTGCGAAATTTTAAGTGGATAAGTGATTCAGGACATTTGTCTCCGTAACGCAAACTGGTGGTGGAGGGTTGAAATGGCCTAACTGATATACTTAAGACCGAGTCTTGGTTTCAACTGACAGTTGCTAAAAAATCATTTTTAGGTAAACACGTAAGTTACAGTAAAAGTTTCACAATCGGTAAAGAAAGAGAAAAATGATTATTGAAATTATTGATGTTAGACGGGCGTATGATTTCCCAAAGGCTCAATTGCCAGTAACAATAATTAACGCTAATCGAACACACAAATGCGTAGGGCTTGTTGAAGAAAAATCATGTTCTCAATTTTGAATTGAATTAATCAATGCTAACTGAAAAGAAATTACCTTGCGGTAAAATTTGATCTTTATTGATGAAAGGTCAAAGATGGTATTCCATGAACAATAAATTGCACGCCCTTGAAACGGATCCGATTTTGACATTTCTGTTATGCGATTCACGTCCAAATTTATTTTCTAATCATTTTGGTTCAATAACGAAAAAATAAATACAATAACTTTAATGACGAATTGATTCAGATTTTGAACTACCTGCTATTTTCCAGACAAATCTGCGTCGATGATGGACACGAACTCTCTCTACAATATGGGTGCCAGTTTTACGAGGTCAGCGCCGCCGAAAACTTCGCCGGTGTATCCTTAGCCTTTCAGTCTCTACTAAGGGAAGCGAAATCCGTACAGTTACTAAAATCGTTACCAATTCGAAGAAAGCTAGGAGTGAACAGCGTATCTAAAGTGTTGGGGAACATCTTCGGCAAGAACTCCAAAGGTGACCGAAAAAAGCGACCCTCACTAAGTATATAAATAAATTTGCGAAACACCGATAGGTACAAAAAACGTTTCTATAAATTAAAGTTCCTTCCCGTTTATTCATAAGCATTAATGTATATGTTACATATATGAAACTGCCTGAAAAAATGTGATACAAATTGATTAAATCAAAATTCTTATTTATTAGTGCGTATTTTATGAAGATGTAGCAATTAACAATAACCATAGTAGTCTAGATGTAGGTTCAATGTAATAATCGATCTCATGTTAAAAATATGGATTATCTAAAATTATATCATTTAGAAATGTTGTAAATAAGACGTACACAATTGAATACTAAAAATAATACACTATAGTGTACCTGTAAATATTTAGCATACTTTTTATACTAATGTAAGGAAATATCCGTTTTAAATTTTGTTTCATATGAGATATGAAAATAAAAAAAAGTATTTAAATGTTCTCTTTAATTGCTGATTAATTTGGACACAAGTTTCCTTATATGCTCAATCTATTTTTAAATTGAAATTTAAAGGTATCATTCCTTAGGGCATTCATTATATTAAGTGAAATACCCCCGATCTATACAGAGGTAAATGATGCTAATCGATTTTATTTCCGACGTTGAAGAATTCCGGAGTTAATTAAAGCTGTCTCTGATTGTACATTATTTAAATTACAAGCGTATAGGATGACATGGCGTATTAAGACGTACGGTATGCGCTAGGGTGAAAGTGCTCAAATATCCGTTTGAAGAAATTGCACAAGTTGTTGAAATTGCGGTTACGGAATGGAAAATAATAATTATATTACAATCATGGTTTTTTCATACGATCGACCCTCCTCCACTAATATCCGATTGCCAGAGTGTGACCCCAATATCCACATTATTATATAAATCGACAAACGCAAATGTTAAAAAAATAAGCGCACAGTAACTGGAATTTCAAGATACCGGTAAAGAGGTGCAATTAGGAGTAGAAGACTTAACAACCGGCGCCACAAATAATTACCAATTACTGTAGTTACCTAACCGTGGCAGATATACCATTATACATTCTAAATGAATCAATACTATTGCAAATTTTTAATATCAACTTATGGGAGAAGGCATTATGGGAAACTTGGGAGCAGGAAAGTTAATCAAGCTTGGTGCAAACTTTCTTTGAATTTGGATAGATTTATAGATGCAATTTGGCTGTAAGTCTAAGAGGTGCAGTTGCTGCACTAGGAAACCGGTAGATGTTGTACATTGTTTAACAAGAAATAGCACTTAGAAATCACTATTTCTGTAACGTTTCGGATTTTTTCATGTATTCTCATAACGTAACTCGAATTTTAAGAGTTTTGAAAGTTAGTAATGCACTCGGCTATTATAAGTCTAATTGGATCTAAAAGCGCGTTAAATAAGTATATTGAGAAAGTAGGTGGTGTCCATTTACATGCTCTTTACTTGATGAAAAAATACAAATTCTTGCACACCTCAGGAATATTGCGGCGTGCACTCGCAAACTATATATTATGTCTGCCTGGGCTGCCAAAAATAAGTTTTGGATGTCGAAACGTCCGAAATCATTTTTATTTTTCTACAAAAGGTAAGGCGAATGGTTAAACCATTCAAAAAAACATGCTTTGCATTCATTGGAAATATTCACTTTATGTATAAATGAAATCGGCGATCGACCTCAAATCCGGCTACTGGAAAGTGCGTTTGGAAGAAGATCAAGACCGATGACAGTGTTATCAACATTTTCCGGCGTTTCCTACCAGTTCAGGGCGATTTGAAACAAGTTAAAAAAGTAATCGTAAACGATTTACACTAAGCGTATTTTCACTTGCATTCATTTCCTATTTGTAAGATGCAACTTCTGTTAAAATCGTAAAGATCCGGCCACAAATATGAAAGATAGCGTTGGATAGGTGCAATCCATTTTTGACGTGCTACTTCAATTTCAGTTTATAAGAAGAATTTCATTTCAATGTTTTCCATAAATAAGAAAGTTGGCACTGCGCATGCGCAAACCTAAATTTTGAAACTAACGTTAGATTTTCAAGTTCCAAGTGGCTATGTATCAAATTTCGTTTAAATACTTTTATAAATAAAAAAGTTTGCAATTCGGTTTATAAATGGTCGACATGCGAAAAAGGCACTGTGAATTTTGAATCGATTCGACTCAACTTTTGGCATTGCGTATTACATGGCTAAAGCTATGCCCATATTGAATTTCGTGCAATTCAGTTCATAACTAACGGAGATGTCAAAGAGATCGGACATTTTTAAACAAATTTATCGTTCACACGAACAGAGACATGGACAGACATACAAAGGAACAGACGGACAGGACCAACAGACAGACGACAGGATCGTTAATAAACGGCAAAAGTAAAATTATGGAACATGTAAAAAACGGTTTTTTGTTTTTTTTACAATAACTTTTTTAGCAATAAACGCAGAAAAAATTCCTTCCTTGGTGCAAGCCTCGACACCATAACGAACCAAATAGCGAAAAAATTAGAACAAGAGGTCTTAAGAAAAGAACTAGCAGCGTCTCAACGAACGAGCGGACGGACGGACGGACAAAGTGGTCACAATTTTTTGTTATTTTTGTGGAAATGCGCTAAAAAGTTGCAGGGTGTATGTGTGTTATCGAAATTTTTTGTGCATAACTTTCGTTTCAATGGTCGCAATTTTGTTCTACGTAAAGAAGATACACAGGAAATTTTGTGAAATTCTGATTATTTTCTCACATTTTCTGGACCACCAATTTTCTCGAAATCCTCGTCGAATTCATAATTCTTTTTCACACTCCGGCATCAAATTTCGTCATTTTGAGGTAAGTATTTTGGAAACATTTTTGCAAAACCCTTGATGCGTTTATGGTTCTTGAGAAAAAAATTAAAAAGTGGTGCACCCTCGAGGGTTTTTGTAAGGGAAGTTTCTATCTATTACACTCACTTTTTTTAGCTTTGAATAAATGCACATTGGACTCAAACATTGAATAATTTTATATTCAAAGCTCAAATGCTTTAATAATTCGCTAAACGGTACCTTAAACACCTGCATGAATGCAACCAAAGAGGCGAGCTTGAAATGTGGGTATACTTACGTGCCCCCTGCCTCGCTTAATGGATGAATCAAGTGTCAAGAATGAATTCCTATGACTAACTTGAGGCGTTGAGTGTAATTCTAATTAGTCAATGCTTGAGGTTTGATGTTTAAAATTGGAAGTTGGAACAATTGCATGAAAGTGTTAAGCACAGACCATCTTACGAGAGTTATTACTTAGTGCCTTTGTTTATTATGCTATAAGTTGTAACAAATATAGCAAACAAGCTCCTGGATCACTGAAAAGTAATTCAGCTTTTCCATTCTGTTGTAGTTGGGTTCTTTCTAGAGTTCTAATTAATTAATAACAAAAGAGTTTTTTGAACTTTATTAAAACAAGTATGACGAGCGACACGACCTCTTGTGCGCAAGTTTCAAAGAACAGGAACAGTGTTAAATCCAATGAATAAAGAATACCAGGAAGGAGCATACTCAGGTTGTATACAAGAGAGAGTGCGATGGAAGTTGTAGCAATTTGAAATAGTGTGTAGGGTAGGTAGTAGATAGTTAGGGTAGTTCAGGTTAGAGCTGTATGATATTTTGCATAGTTTTAGGCAAATTTAACACTAGATTTAACAATAATTTAGTTATCATAAGGTCATTTCCCACTTGGAAATTCTTGGGATATCAATTTTGGGAAAAACGTATATTTTTCGAGGTAGAGTAGATTGGGTTAGCTTTTCGTGCGGCTAGGGAGATAGAGAATTATAATTATTGGAATTCACTGTTTATCAGGATTTATCTCCTAGCTCCTGTATCTGATACTGGTTGGCTGATCGAATTGATGGTATAGTTGGGAATCAGTATAAGTAGTTTGTTTTATCAGATTTGAAGCAGCCTGAAGGTAAATTTAATTACAACTTTTCTAAATTATTAAAGCTATCATTTACAGAGAATACCAATTGGGAATTTGATTAGTGTATATAGTTAGGAAACAACGTCGAATTAGAATATTAGGATGGTAGTCATAAGTTTGAGGTAAGATAAATAATTGATAGGTAGTGTAGTATTAAAACTTTGTAATTTGTAGTTTAGGAACATTGCGGACGAGTTGCAAGCTATAACATCTAGGTAAGAATTAGGTATCTCTTAAGCTAGATATAGAGTATCTCATAACTTTCAGCTTTTTTTGTTCCGCTGCCTGAAATCTGGCACTTACTGGTACCTTACCTTGCTGCATCTGCGTTTGTTCTGAAATAAAGTGGGAGAATAAAAATTAATTAATCATAATTAACCTGTATTTACATACTTACAATTTTTGTGGCTTTGAGTTGATGAACCCTCTTCAAGGGCTATGTAAACTGAAATCAAAAGAGTTAATTCTTACCATTTAATTACAGATAATTACATTCATGATAATACTTACCTGTGAAGGAAAATTCGTTTTGTTCTCAGTTTGGGAGGTCTATTTGTACTAACCTCTATTTGGCCCAAATATAAACAGGGTGCGGGGCTAGCTAGCGAATCCAGAACCCGTATTAATTACCGTAGTAAGATATTGTTGACACTGTTGATTTTTGCGGTGTGGACGAATTAATCCTATTAGTTTTTTCCTTTATTATTGTTACCGTGCTTCACACCACAATTATAATTTGTAGTTACATACTAGGTAATCATATTTAATTTTAAATCGAAATACAGACGTAGGTATTAAATTCCTCTCTGCCACAATACCTAGTTTTTTTACACCTTCATTATGCTATGCTTGGAAGAGCCTATCCTCCTTGATCAAGAGGATTTATTACCTCGCTAGATCTGGCGCCCTTAAGATTTGAGTTTTGTAGTAGCAAGTTTTCCTGGCAGAATACCGAACTTTACGTCCCTCACGTTGAATGTTAGCCGGCTACTGAGTATAAATCCAAGTTTAGTAGTGAATTTGTATTCTCCTAATCAGATAGTAATTTTATTTCGCAGCAAAGTCGGCCATTTGCAAAAGCCACTTATGACTCATTTTTATTGTGGTTTTTGCAGTGACATAAAATAATGGTTAGTTGTTGTGCTTGTGGTTGCTCCAAAACGGAAAAAAATAAAAGTTTGGGAATTAGATTTCATGTGTAAGTATTGATACCAATATTATTTTTATATAGGTAGTACATGTAAATTTACAAATTTTTTATCGGAATGTAGTTTGAGGTTAGTTAAACAAAAGTCATAGGCGGAGTAAACACATGGGGGTTTAGATTGTTTTCGTGTAAAATTCTTTATAATAAAATTGTATCCTTCTACAACTGTTAGGTAGGTACGCCACTGGAACAGGAAACTACTGTCCGCCATTTGCAAAACCCATCGCGGTCGC